TGGGAGATTTCCGGGCAGAGGGTTTTACTGAGGGGATAGCTGGGTAACTTAGGAGTCTCCGGAGAAGAGGAGGCTCCAAGGTTGCTTTGGTCTTGAGAGATGGGATGACCTCCTCTTACCTGGATTGAACAGAATGATTGCCCTCAGGCAGCCAAGCTCTGTCTTGTCCATCCTCATGTCACGCATTTTGGACACTAGCTCTGTCAGCACCCTGGAGAGGGACCTGCAGGTCACTCAAAGGTCACAGCTCAGCCAGCCTTGGACACGGACCAGCCTATAGCCCCACCCCCTCCACCTATAGGCCAGCCCAGCGGAGGGCCACTGACCGATCAAAGATGGCTCCCACGCCTGCAGAATGGGCTGAGTTGCGGTGCACGTGAAGACCCGTGGCGAGGAGGATGCCATCTCGGACATCGATGGATCGATGGGAGAAGGAGGCAATGAGGAGCTCATTCCAGCCTGGGCGGGAGCAACAGGGCCGGGAGCCAGAGGTCAGGCCACGGGATTCACAGCACACCGGGGGAAGAGAAGAGAAGGTGGCGAGGTCAATGAGCTTGGCTCCCTGAGTATGCAAGTGTGCACTGGGGTCACTGAAGGTCATGTCAAAGGGGTCAAATGTCAAGAGGTCAAAGGGATCCAAGGTCACTGACCTGCCCGTAGCAATATGACCTGGTCATCCAGAGGCAAGGAGGAAAAGTGTGGGATCCTCTTCGCCCACTCAACAAGCGTGAATAGCTGTTTGTCAGCTGCCTGACAGATGTTAGTCACAGGGTCGTTTGGCTGCAGGGGGTGTGGGGTAAGAGTTATGGGAGGTTTAGAAGTACACTGGGAGCCCCCTTGTAAGAGACTTTGATACCCCCTCCTACAACGTGGTATACCTCTTCAAGCCCCATCTGAACCGACCCCTGTAAGTCAGGCTTTTCTTCTGGCATTTGTGAGAACATTTATTTGGGACTTGCTGTGGTTCTGCCAAGCAGTGGGTTGTTCTGGGGGTGGGACAGAGGACACTACCACACCCACCTCAGATATTTAAGAGGCCTTGTCTGGCAGCACTTCCAGTCCCAGACAGTGTTAGGAGGGTTGTGAGGGGAACGGAGGGGAGGTGGAGGCAGGACAGACCTAGGCTCCCACTTCCCCAACCCCCATTAGGGAGAATGGATTGACCCCATCACTCACGCTGCTGCCGCTACCCCCGGTTCCCCCAGGACCCTCAACGCCCTGGTCACTCTTCTGCTCCACAGCAAGCTCTGCCTCCAGGATCCTGTCCACAGGCATCTCCTCGGGGGCTCCCCCAGCCCCCTCCCCATCCCCGTCCTTGTCCTTCCCCCGTTGACGCTCCTCCTGTACCGCTGGTGGGGGAGGGAGGACAAAAAGTGGAAAGTCAGCAGCCTGCCATGAGGAGGTTCTGAAAGGTCCTTAGGGCCTTATCAGCATCTGATGGCCCTTAGGAGATATTTATAGGAACCGGGGAAGTCATTACAAATAACAGACTAGGGACAGTCTGGAAGCAGGGGTTGTAACAGGGCACAGAAGCCAAGGAGAAGGGAAGGAGAGGATAAAGGAATTAGGGAGAAGGCTAACATTTAAATGAGGGCCAAGCACATTTTAACATTCACTCTATTATAACAATCCTGTGAGTTCTTGTCTCCATTTTTTTTCCCTTTTATATTTTTCCTTTTTTTTTTTTTGTTTTGTTAATCTTCACCCAAGGATATTTTTTCCATTGATTTTGAGTGAGAGGGAGGGAGGGATTTTTTTTTGAGGGGAAGGGAGGGGAAGGAGGAAGAAACACTGATCGGTTGCCTCCCTAACTCCTTAGATCACAGGTGCCCCGCCCTGTCTAGGGTGGGGATCCAACCTGCAACAGAGGTACATGCCCTTGACCGGGAATGGAACCAGTGGACCCTTCGGAGTGCAGGCCAATGTTCTAACCACCGAGAAACACCGGCCAGGGCTCTTGTCTCCATTTTTAAAGATGAAGAATTTTGGCCTAGAGAAGTTAAATAGCATGCCCAAGTTCACACAGTACATGGTAAGTCATACAACTGAATCCAAGAGTGCCTGCCTGCAAATTCTGTGCTCTTCTAACTCAACACAGAGGCGGTATGAGGAGCACCGGCCTCGGTCTTCAGAGACGTGAGTTCTGATCACAGCTCTACCACTTATTTATTGCATGGCCTTGGAGAAGCTAGGCCTCAGGCTCATCTCGAAAATGAGATTTGATCAAGATACTCTCTACAGGGTGTCTCTCAGAATTCCAGAGTCAGACTGAAGAAGGTAAGATTGAAAAAGGGAAGGTGCCCTGAGGTCTTCAGTAAAGTCTGTAGCTTAAGAGAGTGGAATCCCAGGGTTTGGAGGAGAGACCAGAGAGGGAGCGCTGGGTCAAAGAGAGGAAGGGCTATTCAGGTTAGAGAGGGACACAGAGAGCCCATCACAGGTAAGGAAAGTGAGCCTACCCTCACACCAGACTAGGCAGGGTCACAGGGACAGGCCAGAGGCAGAACCGTTAGGAAGGAAACTCAAGGGATCAGATGAGGGTTTCCGGGAGAAGAGCTGATGAGGGAGAGAGAGATCAAATATCGCCCTCTGGAGGAGAGAGAAAACAGTCCCGTCTTCCCCCTCCCTCCTCACTCCTCCCTCCTCTCCCAGAGGGTAGACTGGGAAGCCTGGGTGGGCAGGCCCTTACCTTCCCTCTTCATGCCAGTGGCCAAGCACTTCTGATAGCGGCAGTACTGACAGCGGTTCCGCTGGCGCTTGTCCACTGTGCAGTCCTTGTTGTCCCGGCACGAGTAGGTCAGGTCCTTGCGAATGGTGCGCTTGAAGAAGCCTTTGCAGCCCTCGCAACTGTAAACGCCATAGTGTTTGCCTACAGGGGGAGGGAATGGCAACAGCAAGGCTGCATGCAAACCGCTCGCCATTAAGTCTCTTGCCAAGTCTGCTCTGTGTGTGCCACACACAGAGCTGGGAAACGAGGACGTGAGGTGGTCCAGTCCACCCTCCCCTCTACCACCCCCCAACCTGTCTTAGCTTCAGGTTCTTTAGCTCTCTGGGCCTCCCCCAGCTACTTGCTCCAAAGAAACCCCATGCGGCCCTGGGAATCCCACAGGGGATGGTCAGGGGCAGACATCTCTCTCTCTCTCTTCCTGTCTGCTGGTCCTCTGAACCCCATACCTGAACTTCGGTCCCCGCAGATTGCACACAGCCGTTTGCCAGCCCCAGGGCCACCTGGAGGGGGTGGACAGTGCAGGCCCCGGACCCCTAAGACTGGTGGCTTCACATCTTCAGGGGTGCCAGACCCACCCCCAGGGAGCGACACTGTTGAGTTAATCTGGGATAGGGGAAATAGGGAGGTCATGGGGAGACTCGCTGGGAAAGAGAATCAGAGGCGATGGAAATCATGCCCTAACCCCTCAGAGGGCCCTGCATTGCACACCCCGCAGAGCACTGTTACACTGCGGTCTGCGGGGAGGGCCAGCCCTGGAGCACAACCCAGAGACTACACATAGCGTCCCTTGAGAGAGTGCAACACGGTGGCCCTGAAAGGTATTATCTCAGAAGGGCAGGTGGGACCAAAAGGGCAGAAAGTCACTGACGGGTGAAAGGGACATCAGGAATATTGGGGTTCCTTTTGGGGTCGGGGTGGACACATGCACTGCAACATCAGTCACCTCAGGGGGTCTCACAGGGACAACAGGCCTGCCAGAATTAGAGGTCTGGAGGTCAGTGGGTCATGGGGAAGTTCACACAAGGATCTAGGGTCACAAGGAAATGCAACTGGAGAGGCAGAATGTGGGTCACAACCTCTCACCTGGGGACTGCTGACAGGCCCGGAGAATCCTGGGGGAGCTGGAGGGGGCAGGCCAGGGGAGCCCATGGAAGAGCTGATGACAGGGAACGGGGAGCCCAGAGGAGGGGGTGGCATCGGGGGTGGGGGTGGGGCCCCAGAGCCTCCAAGGGAAGGGGCTGCTGAAGGGGGTAGAGGTGGCCCAGGAGGAGAATGGGGAGGGGCCCCCTGGGAAAGAGGATTTGGGGAGGAACTGTCTGGGCTTCGGGAGTCTGAGGGAGGGGTACACAGAGGCACAAAGACACACAGACAGGAGAGACAAAAAGAGAAAATGAGTCTTCGATCACTCAACTGAAGACTTGCAAGTCCTCCACTGCTCCCTGCGCCCCCCCCCCCCACCTCCCCGGTTCCCAAGCCCAGGGACACCGGTTATCACACAACAGCTCAACTCCTAACTGTGGCGACAGGAGGGGATTCACAAAGGAGAGAAGGGTGATTCAGGCGAGGAAAACTCCAAGCAATGTATTCGGTCACCCAAGGCCAGGAGCCCCAGCCGGTCTCCGGTGGGTGGGGCAACACGTGGGCTAAGCCCTCCACTCTGAGCTCGTGGCCTGAGCGGGAGAGACCCCTCCCGGGACGCAGGACCCGCCCTCCAAAGTCAGGATCCTCAAACTAGGACGCCTGGCCCCTGCCGGGGAGGGCGGTGTGCGGGGCCTCGGACCGCAGGGGCCGGAGGGCGGAAGCTTCCCCCTCCCCGCCCCGCCCCGGAGGGAGGGCGCTGAGGCCCTGGGGAGGGAGGGGACGCGTGTTTACAAACAAGGGGGCGGGAGCGCCGGGGGAAGAGCACCCAGGGAGGGGGAGGGGTGCAGACGCGCGGTCCCCGGTTCGCAGGTCCGCTCG